ATGATTTTTTGCTTCATTATAGGCTTTGGCTTCAGCTTCAATCTGCAAAATTTTTTAAAACTTTAAACTCAATTCATTCTCTGACAGCTCATAGGAGAATGAACTTATAATTTGCATTAATTAAATTCTATCAATTTCTGTCACGATGGAAAAATCAATAGAGTTATCAATAAATATGTTACAAACTTATATATATTACACTAACTAATACTGGTTAAATTAATTTTAAAACTGGCTGTATCAGATAATTCTTCAAGTTTCCAAGTAGCTCTGGCCAAATTTACAGATACTGGAATTGTATTTTTTGAATTGTTGTTTTTGTCTGGAATTTCATTAATTTTGGTTTATTTTATTCACATTACAAATACTTGGTTGTATAATGCATTGTGATACAAAATACCAATATAAATACTTCAATATGGTGTGTACGAATAGTTCCCTCACAGTAGAACGAAATGTCAGATTCTATTCCTTATGATCCTGAAAAGGCTGCCTTATTAGTCATTGATATGCAAATAAGTTATAAAAAATATATTTAAACCAGGAATGGCAATATTAGAAGTTATTTCGGACTAAAATTCATAATAAAATTGGGGTCATTTGAGTCATTTACTATCACTGATTTAAACAATACAAAACTTCAAATAATTCTTAATAGGAATTTTTTCGTAGTGATGTAGTCGATAAAATTATTGCAAATGTAAAGTCTATCGTTCTAACTTGTCATAAGAAAGGAATTTTAGTTTTTTTGGACTCAGCATGGTCACATAGATGTTGAACTTGATGGAACATCTTGGCATGATGGGTATTTAATTACCATTTTTATATTTGTAAAAAATAATAAAATAAAAAATAAATGAAATAAAAATAATAACAAATATATTTTTAAGTGGAAAGATAAAGATGAAATGATAATGCAAGGATCTGAAAAGTGGCAAATTTTGAAAGAATTGGATTCAATTATTGCGGTAAATTTTGATTGTTGGATTGAGACACGTAATATTCATTAACATTAACGTTAATTTAGCGATCACCAACTTCAATTAGTACCCTTAACTTTATCATCAAAAGTAAAACTCGCTATGATGCTTTTTATAAGACCGAACTTAATTCCTTTCTCATATCCCTCAGTATAAAAACACTCATAATTTCTGGTGTTAAAACAAACATATGCTGTGAGACAACTGCCAGGAGTGAGTACTTTCGTTAATATATAATGAAATGGAAATGATGATGCTAATAATAATTTTATAGAAGCATTTGATGAGAATTATGATATTGTTTTTCTTGAGGATGTGACTATTACAGATACTAAAGAGATGCATGATGTATGAAAGTTTTTATAGAAGAAAAAATTTGTTTAAAAATCTCTAGAATTATTTCTTGCCCAAAAAGCAGCTTTATTGATCATAGGATATGGATGGGGCATAGTTACCACTGTTAATAATACTACTAAATAGCTTTCAACCTATGAAAAATAATATATTTACTCTATGCGAAGTAATTCTTTTATTGGGCTTAATTTTTATTTAGTCGATTGGAAAATTTTTAATTAGTTATTTACACAAAAACTATAGCTATCTATTTACTCAAGTATCAAGTTACTTTACTCAAGGTTTGGACTTAAAACTAAGCAGATTGTGATATCTATTATTGATAATATGTTTGCACTATTGTTTATGTATTTATTTACCCAAGCTCAAAATTTCTGATACGCCATTCTTTCGAGTATGATTTCACCGAAAGATCTCACTAATGCACATCTAATGAATCCTACTGTACTAATTTGATTAACAAAAGGGGTATTTGATGAAATCAATTTATAAATTGGTAATTTTTATTTTAATAATGGACTTGCTCTTACCAAACTATCAGTTATTAAAAAAAAAGTACAAAATTCGTCAATGACGAATTTTTGTGGCATCATTAAATAAAATAATTTTGGACTTGGAGTTTGGAGAAGGCTTTATATTAAATTTATTTAGTAATATATCATAATATTTTTAATGGTGTAGCTATATTACCATTGTCAGGTGACCTGTTTATTATTAAATTTTTTAAATTAGAAAAATATAATTTTTCTTAATTTATTTGCCCTTAATAAAATTGATATGTTGAGTGATTGGTGACATATTCTGCAATTTAATCATGCATAAAATACTTTTTATAGATTCAATCACATTATCAAACTTTTATAGAAAAGGGTTTTTTTAAAAAAAATTGATCAATAACTTTGTAGAGCTCAGTTTAATGATTATCGATTTTTGTTAAACATACAAGCTTTGCAAACTTTTCTGCTAAGGTAAGAAATTACGCTTTAAGTTATTCAATGTTGTTTATGATACATATGTAAAACTACATTACAAATTATATTAACTATTTAATTACTGTTCACATTCAGATAATCTGAAAGCACAAGAACTTTTTGTTCACATTTCAAGAATTTAATTAACCATATTTTAAATAAATTAAACAAATAAATAGAGTAAAATTATGCGTAAGGCTAGTTATTTTTATATTTCTAATTGAATATTCTTTACTGTTGTTTGTCTTAAAATATTAAGATAGAAAGTACTGTATTTTTCGGCATTAAAAAAGCATTATGTTTGGCTAATGAATATCAAATGATGGTAAAATTTGAGGGTCTCAATTTGAAAATATAATGATAAGCTCCAACAAAATCCACTATACTCTTTTATTAATAATAACTTTAACCTTAAATCCTAACTTAACTATAAAAAAAAGCTGACAAA